GTTTTTTGTGTTTATATATGCACGTATACACACACATATATAGGCACAGTCTCTTTAAGTATTTCAGTTTTCAGTTGTCTTATTTATTTTGCTTCTACTGCCAAATCATGCACGCCAACCTAAATATGCATATCTTGTGTGCAGACATTCAAGATACTAAAAGCAGAACAGCCTCTTTTAAGGGGAAAAAAAGTATTTTGGGGTTGGAGTTCTCCTTGTCTGGCTGGAACTTTTGCATTTATATGAAAATGTCTAGCACTAAAGCAAACGTACTCTTGAAGCAGGGAAGGTCCTGTAGACTCAAGTATGAAGCATGAACTTTTCTGAAGAATACCTGCAAGGTATGTTTTGAAGTCTTGCGTCCTGGGACAGAGGAAGTTCTGCTCAGTGCCTTGAAAAGCTCGCTCATGGAAAACCCGAGGTAGAACTAGGATGTAAGCTTTAAAAAATTTGACCTTCCAGCAAGAGCGCTGAGCGCAGACATCAGGGGTGACAACTGAATCTGTACGGAGAGAGGAGCTCTTCTATGCACCCAAACTGTTGTCTTGCAGAGTTTTGAGCTTATCAGTAGCACAACTCAACTTGTAAGGTATAGAAAAGAAACACAAAGGGAAATTCTGGATAACTGGCTTTACTACCCGTTGCTAAAGTGGTTTCTGTGTTGGTGTACCCGTGTGTTGTTCAGGTGAGGAGTCTGCTGCCTGTCAGACTCGCGCAGGAGGGAGTTCACCCGCTACAAATGAATTTTTCCCATGCTGTTTTATTTCAGCTTCCCGCCAGGAATCTTCTCTAACCCCACTCAGTTTTCCGCTTGAGCAACCAACTGAATTCTAACGTGACGCTATCACAGTTTACATACTTCGAGTAAAGTCACACGCTTCACTTAATAAATAACTTATTTTGAATTCCGCCTAGCTGTATGTAAAACACATCTGATGATTTTATAAACCGCGAGCTTACTCTTGGAATGCAGTTTGTGAGAGCCCTGCCACTTCGCTTATGCAAGTGGTCCTATAGTGTGACTTCTCCAGCAAGAGAAAAAGCAGGTTGTGCTCACGTTCCTGGCTCCTACCTCCTATACAACCTGTGGGAATTGCTCATGTTTCACTTGAAAGTTATCCCTTTCCTGTTTGTCTGGAAGAGCTCTGAAAGCTGTTTAGAAACTCTTCCATTTTTCTTGGTGTGGGGCTATTAATTCTTGCATAGGTTTTTATTGTGGCTTCTTTTTCTAAAGAGAGATATTTTGGCTGCTAAAGAGCAGTTCAATAAAAAAATACGGAGGTGGTTTGTCTAAAGAAGGAGCTCCACATCTAATGATCTCGGGGTGTTGTGTGCTTTTTACCCTTCTATAAAAGCTACATCCTTAGCTCCATTTCTAAGTCATTGAGATTTGTGTCTTTTGCAAAGAAAGCCATTTTTACTGTGAATATTTGGATTTAGGCTTTTATTTATACTACTAAGATGGCCCTTTTCAGTCGGTGAAAATAAAGCCTTCTCAAGAAAGCATTTCAGTCTCGTTCCTCTGACTCATCCATGGAAAGATAAGACTCCCTAATTGTAGCCGTATAGCAGAGGTTGGGTAAAAACCTTTTTTCTTTTCTTTTACTTGCCTGTAAAATCAAACCAGAATGCAGGCCTTAATCTGATTTTGAGTTCTTACATGCAGAGTTGACCTTGAAAGTACTGAAGTCGAGATATTGCCGGCAGTAAAAATCACTGTGGTTTTTGATAGTCTTAGGACATTTTTATGACAGTTGGTTAACTGACTATAAAGCATAAAAAATACCCATCTTTCCAATGGAGAAATGTGCAGTTTTTACAGT